GGGAAATAGAAGTTCTGCATATAAACTAAATGATACTAGCCACAATAGTCACAATAGTGACCTAGGCATCTGACACGACCTCTTAGCATGGTTCTGTATTCAGTATAGATGGGACCAACATGAGCTTCAGAGAAAAGAGGAACCTTGGTAGGAGAGCTGCAGAGATGCTTGAGTAACTATATGAAAAAGTGCTTCAGTTGGACTGAGATCAACAAGTAAACAAATAACTGTGCCTCAATAAAGTGTTTAACTGCATGCATGGAAAGTGATTTTTCATGCTATGGGCAGAGGGCAACTGCAGTTGAAAACAGAGGAACATAATAGTGTGTGAGATGACAAGTTGGGAGGAGGGCTATTTTTTTTTCCAAGCTGAGAAACAAGGCCTTGCAATTAGGAAGAGCTTCAAAGTCAGGGGAGGATTTTTAGGCTGCAGATAGATGACAGGTTTGAAAGTCTGGTGCTTCCTTTAAAACAGGAGTTGTCTACCGATGGTACATATACCCCCGGGGTACTTGGGAAGGTCCTAGGGGGTATGCGTGAGTGGGCAGGGACGGAGTGCTGCCATCCACCACCCTGCACTGCTGCCTCCCAGGAGCAGGGCTGAGGGGGGCGAGGGCAGTGGCACCCCTCTGCAGGCCACACAGGCATTTCCTGGCCAGCCGGACGTGGGGGTGGGGAGCTCGCACACAGCAGCTGCCGCCGCCACCCACCACCCCACGCTGCTGCCGCTCTGCGTCGAGTCATGCAACACTCCCCCACCCCCTTGCTCTGTGTCTGGCTATCAGGGGTGCACTCATTAAAAAGAGTTGAAAACCCCTGCTTTAAAACACAAGAAATTCTGAAAGGGAAGGGCTGGGATTTGGGAAACGGCATCTCTGTTAACTACTTAATCCCCCTACTTTGCGTCTCCACCACCATACTACCATTGCCCTCCTTCCATGGAGACCTGACAAAGCCTGTCTCCTAAGGCCTGTCCTGGTTGTTCATTTGTGGGGAGCTGTAGTTGAGAGATGTAAGACATCCATTCACTTATCTAAGGGGCAGAGTCAGGCTGTCTTGGCCACACTGCTGGATCAGGGAGTGAGACTGGGAAGCAAACCTGTACTTCAACAGTGACAAGGATAGTCACAAGAGTAGCCCCAGGGATGCTTCAAGAGTAATCAGAACATATGCTTCATCTCTGTGGTCAAGGTGATGGCTTCAGTCAGGCTGTAGGCTTTGCACAGTTTACAGGAAGATTGAGGCCCAGCTGGAATTGGCCACAAGTAAAACGGTCTTGCCAGATATTTTGACACTGTTCAGGGAAGGTAATTTTGTAGGTAACTTTGACTCAAAATTATTCTCATCTTCACTTTTATTCTCCATAGGATTTGCCACCCTGCCTTCCCCATTAATTTCTTCTCCCACTTTACATTCCTGTAGCTCCCACCCCTAAGCCAGACCTGACACTAATGCCAGTACTTGAAAAGGAAAATATCTATGGCTGATAGTTGTCTGGCACCCCCTAGACCAAGAGTTTAACTTCCCAGGCTGGAGAAATAGCTTAGAGGTCCATCATAAGGATTTTATGTACTAGGAGCTCATTCAAGGTTACTCTGCCCCTTGTATGGTCATTTGTGCCAGTGCAGTAAGTCCAGTGTTTATAGGGTTGTTGGTTGTAACTGTGTTGGTCTAAGAACATAGGCAGACAAGGTTCTTTGGGTAGATGTGATATCTTTTATTAGACTAATTAAATAGTTTGAAAAATTGTTCTTTGCAAGCTTTTGGGCACAAACACCCTTCTTCAGGCATAGGGAGAGTTTATGTTATGGAGCAAATGACTTTGCAAGTCAGGGCTTTGTTGAGTGCTAATATAAACTGGCTTCACAGCAGTGGGGCTAGGCCTTCTCTAATGTAGGGATGTCAGCCATTAGAGGCCAAACATCAGTAACACCTGCATCTGTACAGATCAGGTGCACCGCTGTGCCACGAGTGCAGCTTACTCCAGTTTCAAGAAGGGCCAAACTTTTTATTGGAACAAATCCTGCTTGCAGCACTTTAGTCTGCTTGCACTAGGGGTCTGAATCAGTGATACTAGACCTGAGTCTGAGTACTGATAGCTGAAACCCCCTGTGGCAAAAGGGCCAAATTCCTAATATGCAAAATGATAGGAGAGTCAGGTCCTTAAAACCAAACATTTCAGTAAATCAAAGGAGATTGAACTAAATGCTGCTGTGCATTGAACTCCCAAGGCTGGAAGAAGTTGACTGCATGTGAACTCTTGTTTGCTGTGACACTATCACAATAAACAAAAACAGGATCCCATTGCCCTGAGCAATACACAGACACAGAATGGCAGAGTCCCTGCTCCAGATACATACTTTTGCCTTTGCATGTATGTATGTGGGTTTGTTGATTTGATTGATACAATCTAAATGCACAAGACAGAGCCAAGTCTGGTAGTAATGAACAACAAGAGTAAACATACAGGCTAGGGACAGAAGTTGTACATAAATGGGTGCAAATGATTAGAAACTGGTTTAAAACCATACCAGAACAGAAATTCAGTGCACATAAACCATTTCCAAAATGGACAAAACTGGTTTAAGATAAACCTGGTTGAATGTAGTATCAGACTTAACTTAAACCAGAAAAGGGTCTGGGACAGAAGTTTCATAAACCAGTTTGACCTAAAGCAGTTAACTCTCAGTCCCCCAGCATTCCAGGGTGCTTTGCAGCCCTGGCCTGGGCTGGGCTGTCTACTCTGGTGGAGCAGGGTTAGCCCCACCCCTCTTCTCCCAAGCCAGAACACTATTGCTGCTTTGACTGGCTGAGGAGGGGGTGGGGGTGGGAAACCGTGCTCCAGGGTGCCCCCCTAGCTGCTCGAGCAGCAGGAGCAGGGTGTGTGGCCAGATGCCGCTAGCCTCAGGGGAAAGGGGTGTTTAATCTCCCTTCCCCCCCCCCACCCCCCCCATGTCCCACTGGCATGGTACCCCAGCCAGGGTCTGCCTGGCTTTCAATCCACTCGCTGCATGAGCAGCCAGTTTCCGCACCCCCCCGCCGGTACCACAGCAGGGCCCAGTGCTGCGTCACTCCAGCCATGAGCCCTCAGGCTGTGCTGCACAGAGCTCCTATCCCTCCCCCCACCCCTCTGCCACCCTGTTGTGGGGGACGGGGAGAGCCCTGAGCACTGCAGCGGCTCCATGACAGCCTGGCCCGGCCTGGGCACAGAGAGCCAGGAACAAGCCAGGCACACAAGTACTGCAGCCCAAGCCTGAGCCACAGCTGGCCAAGATAGGGCCCTCCCCCTGTGTCTTGTCCCCATCCCACCCACCCTCAGCAGTGCCTGCAGGCTGACCCAACTCAGCCCCCCAGCCCCAGCCCTGGACAAAGTGGGTGGATGGTGGGGCTGGGCTACATGGACCTGCCAGCCCTGCTTCTTTGCAATTTCCCCTCTCCTTCCCTCCCCACTTCACCTCAGGCCCAGGGCTGGCATCTGGCCATACCCCTGCTCTTGCTGCTCAACCCTTAGGGGCAGCCAGGTGCTGGGGTCTGGCCACACCCTCTTCCATCCCCCCTAAGCCTAGAAAGGACTGTTTCCCTCCTCCTCTTCCAGGCACACCCCAACTAGGATCACTGCAGGCCAGGGTTGGGGTTTAAACCGCACTTCAATCATACTCAGGCCTGCTGGGGTCTGGCTATGTCTCCCCCCCACACACCGGCCCTCCAGCTCAGCTTCCCTCCAGCCTTCAGACCACAGTAGAAGGGAAGGGAGGGCTGCTCTAGTGCCCCCTGGCTTCTGGCCTGAGCCACTGCAGGCATGTGGCTGCATTTCCAGAATCAGAAGTGAATGTCTATTCACTTGTTTGTCAGTTCAATCTAGACAGGTTAGACTAATCTGTAAAAACTGAATCAATTCATACCCAGGCTTTTTGAATGTCTGTACTTAACCACAATGGTAGAAAAATATCATGTTAGTTCCACAAATGTATTTTTGGGGGGTTTGCTAATTGGAAAGAGAAAGGGAGAGGGATAGCTATGGAGTGAGGTTGAGGTGAGAAGTCTGTGAAGGAGATGTGAGGAGGAAGAAGGGCAGGGCTTGAACAAACAGCCAGTCAACACAGAGCAGAGAAAGGCCAGTAAAAACTGCAGTGGTCCCAGGATGTCTGAAGGTCCCTGCTTCTGCAGCTGCTCCTACTGTCTGGCTGCTTCCAGCCACCCTTCCTAGGGGTCACATGGGCTAGGGACAGACATCCAAAAAGCCAGAGCCTGAATTGACTCAGTCTTTGCAGGTTAGTCTAACCTGCATAGATTGAACCAGTTTGTAAGTGATTAGCCATTCACTTTTGACTCTGGAAATGCAGGCGCATACCTGTAGTGGCTCAGGCCAGAAGCTGGGGGGCACTAGAGCAAGCCCTTAGCTTAAGGGAAACTAAGTTGAGGGGGGACGTGGCCAGGGCACATGTCAGTGCCCACACCACTGCTGCCTGCAACAGGGAGATTAAATCCCCACTTCCCCTCAAGCTATTGGTATCTGGCCACCATGGCACTGTGTGTACAAGCAGAGCATATTGGTGCCTGTGCCACCCCACCTCCCCCTGCAATGTGGGAATTAAACCTCCACTTCCCCTCAGGCTACTGAGGGGGTGAGTCTGGCCACACCCTAGCACCCGCTGCTGGAACAGTGAGGGGGATGGGGATGCTTGGCAAGGGCTGTTGCCCCCTTGCCAGGCAGACCCAGCAGCACTCCTGAGCACAGTTTTCCATCCCCATCTTTTTCTCAGCCAGTCAGAGCAGTGCTAGTGCTCTGGCTAGGGAGGAGAGGGGTGGAGCCAACCCTGCTCAGCTGGAACAGACAGCCCAGCCCAGCCCAGCTCAGGGCTGCAGAGCATGCTGGAAGACTCCGATTTAACTTAAACCAGGAAAGGATCTGGGACAGAAGTTGCATAAATTGGTTTGACCCAAATCAGTTAAGTCTGATACTACATTTAGCCAGGTTTATCTTAAACCAGTTTGGGCCATTTTTGGTTTATATGCATTGAACTTATGTTCTGTTACAGGTTTAAACCAGTTTCTGATCGCTTAAACTGGTTTATGTGTAACTTCTGTCCTTACCCATGGGGGGGCAACTTGTATAGTGCCCTCATAGTGAAGGCCGTCTCCTCTGTGCCTTTTTTGGTTGGCTTTATTAGCAAAGGGCTGGCTCTTACTGACACCTTTTTCCCATCTACTCAGAGCAGAGGCTGCTTTCTCTGACCAGAGCTTCTGGCTGGCTCCCTCAACAGTCATTCCCCAAGGCCACATAGCAAAGGAAACAGAAGTGCCATTATCGCATGGCACTTATTTGCACAGAGTTTTTTACCCAGCACCTCTGGCCAGAATCTCTTCCCTTTCATTCTCAGAATGTGCTCTGTGCCTGTGGGCTGCCTCCCTTCTACCCTAGAGGTGCCTGCATTTCTGCGGTGCTGTGTGCATCTACAGTCCAGTGCTGTAGCTTGGAATCCTTTGCTAAGAAAAATTGAGCACATCTTAAATAAATAGGTGAAATTCAAACTATTCTTATTTTAAAGGTAGTTTTATGCACCTGAAACATAGCAGCAGCAAACCTTGCCTGTGAGACAAGTTCTAAAGCCCTCAGACAAAAAGCAAGTGTCATTTCAATAGGGCTCTGTATGACATTATGCATCAACAGAGCTCACCTGCTGTGCAGACAGGGCTTCTTACAGAGGCCTAGGACTGTTCCTAGGAAAGCATGTCCCATGGGAGGGGACAGTGTTCTCCTTGTACACCAAACACTTACAGAAAACAAGGACCAAAATACCCAAATGCCCTTGGGTTTGTTTCCTTCTTTTGTCTACTGCAGCCTGAAGAGCTGGGGCGTGTCCAACTCTTCCCATGGGAGGGCTCTGACTATTGGCAAGAGAAAAATGCTCACTTTGGCCTGAGACCATTTTGCAGCTCAAAAGCCCTGTGTACCCTTGCAGGATGTGACTAATAGCCATGGAAGCCAGGGGCTGTTGCATTCATCTTGTACTGAGACAATGTTGCGCTGTTAAAGCCCTGTTCTAAATGCCTCATTTCTTCCTCCTCCGCCTCCAGTTACAATTCCACCTCCTTTCATAAAACAGGTAGAGCTTGCTTGGGTGGTGAGACCTCCTCTGCTGTATATCGTGTAATACAATGGGTAGGATATAGCAACAAAAAATGGCGTATGAGTACAATATGAAAGCTGGAGGTAGAGAAAGGTCTGTGAGCAGGATCAGATTAAGGCAGGATGCCTCCCATAAGGGTCTGGCAGTGTGAGGAGATGTGACAGCAAGAAGTCTTTGGGGGGAAAAAAAAATCAAGATCCCCTTGTATAGGAACAAGGAATCCAGAGAGACTCTCGGTTGGGGGCAGAGAAAGAGATCACCGGTTGGGGGGCAGAGAAAGAGATCACGGAGTAGGGTTGGGGCTGGGAGGAAGGATCTGCAGTGTTGATGTTTTAAGATCTCAGTGTTTTGGTAAATTTCCTCTGGCTAGTTTTGTGCCCAGCTTCTCTTTCCCAAACACTTTCAAGAATAGATTGTAAAGTGTATTGGGTCTCTGCTGTGTCTTATACTTACACTGCAAGTATTTTTATTATTAAAAGGTGCTTGTTACAGCAACAGCAAAGTCTGTTTTGTGCCAGTCAAAGAGAACTAAACAATGTGAGAATGGGGCATAAGTACTCTTTGAACTTCTACTGTAGTTGACTGTTTTTACACACAAAAATAAATCCAAGACTGCAGATAGCGTCCTCCAGAAGTTTAAACATCAGAGAAGTCCTTTATGTAATTTAGACTCAAACTATGAAGTCTTGGGAGTTTCCTGGAAGATGAATGTCCTTAACTTTTAGTTTCATTGGGAATGCAGGGTTTTTAGCAGTATTTGCAAGGCAGTAATAGGCCCTTAAGCTGTGGGGGTGAGAAGGCAATAAAATGGAGTCTTGAGGCTGCTGGAATATAAAGCAAGGCCTTTTGTCTGAGAACACTACTTATCCTGGAGGAATTTGGTGGGAGTGCTCCTCCTTTTGTTTTCCTAGATCTTTCCGATGCAAACATCCTCAGGTAGGAAATCCCAAGCTGATAAATGAGAAACAATTAAAAAGGAGGTGAACTTTACATAGCTTTTCTTTGTGTTTTAATTCATCACATGATACCACCCAGCTATACCAAAAGTATGCATGATTTCAAAGACAAGTGACCCAACCTGGAGCTCAAGAGATCAAAACAGCTTACATTACCAAACAGGCCTAAAGCTTTTCATAGAAGATACAAAAAGGATTCATTTATTTTCTTCACAACTTTTCTGTTGAAGCCCTGGTGACTTACTTCCTAATTTTTCCTGATTTAAATCCCCCATTTCGTAATTTATGGCTTTAAAAAACAAACAAACAAAAACATCACTACCACTGGGTAGACGTTCCTACAGAGGATGACGTGATAGTGATTTCCCCATATCCATCCCCCGCCCCCTTTTCTTCATGGTATTATAGAGTTCAAGATTTGTTTTATCACCTTTCACTCTGAAGAACTTTCATCAAATTCTAAAAAACGATGGCTCCTTCTGGATGCCTCAGATCTTGGTTGTCCAGCTTGCGACACCTTGAAGAAAGCACCCGCTGATAATGAAGACCCTTTAACATGCATAGAAGATGCCCCATATAAGGCATCCCAAGTTACTGTGGAAACACTGGAGCATCACACATCAAATGCTGCAATGATCTTGCACTCTGCTGAAGTGCAGATGCTTTTGGGGTGCAATGCAATGGTTTCTGTTACAGTGCAGAGAAACTGTCATTATTATTCCTGACTTGCTAAAGTATGGTAGATGCTTTACACCACAGATAAACATTAGAATCCCAAAGACCTTTACAGTCACTCTATCTTGCCGAGCAACTTAAGATGGGAAGAGAAGAAAATGATTGCTTTACCCAATAAACAATTTGGAGAAAATGTATAAGAATCATAATCTTCTGAAGTAGTTAGTTATTTTATCTCAACAGTGGGATTTAGGTTCAGTTCAACATGGTGTTAAGCACTCATGCACTGATCCAGCAAAGCGTGTCTGCACATGTCTAAACTGAAGCCTGAAAATAAGCTGTTGCCTTCAAAGAATTTGAGTACTTAAATCAGTATTTATTACCTGAAGTGTCAAATGTGGTGTGTGGGCTCAAATGTGCCATTAATTAGCTGCCTTTGTTGAGAGACTCTCCAATTTAAATCTACCGCTAAGGGGCTTTGCCAAAACCAGAGATCTATCTTGTTCTATGCATCCTAAGTGCCTATAGCATAGCATGCCATGCCTGCAAGCCAGCTGTCCCCATTTTTGAACAAGTGCATATTAACAAGAAGAATGAAGAATTATTTGCATTTTTCTATCAGCTTTTTATGCTGATTAATCTCAAACATTATACATTAAAGCCTTACAATACCTGTGGGAGCCCAGTGAGCACTGTTACCACCGTTTGACAGCTACAAAAACAAAAATATGAAAGCTTTAAGTGACTTGCCCCCAAAACAAACAAGAAGCCAGTGGCAAGGCCAACTGATTGGGGGAGGGGGGAGGGTGACAGGGAAGGAAATCCAAAATTCCTGGCTCCAAGTCACATACTCCAAGTATCAGATCTTTCTACTGAATCACCATTGCTAATGTAGAAGAAGGTGGCTTCTCTGTTCTGAGCTAGTGAACAAATGATCCAATGTACTGGAGGTCAGGTTTTGTACAGGAAACATTACACTGAAGTCCTCTTGATTGTTTGCCCATAGGCACTGAAGATCCCCTGGTATTTTCCCCTCTATGAGCAGTACTACTTGTGAGAGCATCCTGGACAAATTCAGATTTGGTTAATTACATTCTGCCTCCCTAAAAACTCTCCCTACAGAGCCAGTCAGATATTATACTCATCCCTACTTTGCCTCTTCTCCTCCTGTGTAGCTTTGCACTTTTCAAAGAACTGAAGCATTCCACAGAGAGGTGGAAGTACTATATCTCTATTTGTGGTGCTGTGCAGCAGATTACAGAACTTCTCTCTGCCTTATATTTCCCCCATTTTCAGAAGAGTGGCTAACAACATCCTTTTCCACTTACAGCTCTCAAGCCACTCTGTAAAAGCCAGGTAAGCATTATTGTCCCTGTTTTACAGCTGCCCTAAGTGCAGAGGAATTAACTAATTTGTATGAGCGTCACAAGGATTTAATTAGTAAGATCTGGCTCTCCTCCTCTAGCAATCAGGGGTCTGTTCAGCTGTCTCCTCATAACCAGTCACATTTCAAACCCTCCTGAAAATGGGGCTTTTGAACACTGCCTAGATCAAGACTGTCAGGGTCCCTGACGAGCACATGTTTTAACCCAATCTTGGTACTTCCTTTTAGCTTTGTGGAGGGTTCCATCCTGGCAGGCATAGCTGGCAGGCTCAGAACCATGAGTGAAATATTTGCTATTGCCATGTTTTTCTTTCCATCAGCTTCATGGACAGAGAGCCATGTTGAGTTTTCAAATATCAGCAGTTTCTTAACTCTTCCTGCTCTGGAAAACTCTCTTCCTCAGTGTGCCAAGGTGCAAATCTTCCTGGGTCTAAAGATATTCTAATGCAATATAATAATATTCTTTGGTAGAGAAAGACAGGAATACAAAGAAAATGCTGGGCTCTTGTTAAAAGGAGAACAGTCTAGTTCTTAAAAAGCTGTAACCTCAATCGCTTGAAAGTGCAATGTTTTTCTTTTTGTTTTGTATTTTTAATTTGCAAAGGACAAAATGACACCATGACTGCAATGTTAACTGTGAAGAAACTGTTCCATTCCATAAAAAAAATAACATCCATCTGTAGCATCAAGATGGAACAATCATCCTTCAGTAACCTTGGCTGAATAGCTCCAAAAATATGGGCTTCTACCTACTTGTGTAAGATGGAGAAAGTGCCGTCAGATACAGCAACACCATGATGTTCTTTCTGAACTGCAATTAAGCAAGAGGGGCATATTCATTGGCAGATATTGCCCCTCATCCATACTGAAGGCTCAGTGTGCTGAGCCAGGGCAATAAAGACCTCACTGGGATTCTGCGTGGCTGCAAAGGTCTATCTACGTAGACCTTATTGTAGGATTGGGGTCTTGGGTCTCAATGCAGCAAAAAGTAACTTATGTGCAGTCTGCACTGTTTAAGTGCATAGACTGAGGACTGAAGAGAGGCTATGTACCATCTAAGGTAAAACAAACCTTTAGCAGGTATGAGCGAAGCAATGGATAAGGCTTTGAAGGTGTATCTCAGAAAAACCCATGCACAACAAAGTGAAGACTGCATGTTTTAGCATCAGGGCCTTGTTGACTAATCACTAGGAAGCATTGAACATTTTTTTCCCCTTCAGGTTTTGAAAACCTAATTTCAAATCAACCAAATGGTGGGGTCGGTTGTTCAAATTTCAGGTCAAACCAAAACGAAAGGAGAGCGGGATGGAGTTCCGTAATGGATGCCAGCTGCAACTTTAATTATGCCAAAGCCACAGATTTTCAGACTAAAATACAGGTATTAAAATGAAGAAAGCTTAGAGTACACCTTTAAAAAAAATAAGAAATAAATAAAAATTCCAACAAATTATTTTTTTAACAAATACATTTTCAGCTATTATGTCCCCAACACAGTAGAGGTGTGCCAGGACACAATTCCCCAAAAGTGAAGGTGTCTAGACACCCCATTTAGGTGCTCTCACTTGATAGCAATGGATATGCCCCATCAAGCAAGAGCACAGGTGGGTGCCGATTACACTTCCACTTCTAGGACCTCACTGAGTTCAGCAGACAGTCTAAAAAATGTGCATTAGGCTTGGTGCATCAGGCTTTGCAGGATCTTTAATTCAGCTGCAGGCTTCTTGAAAATATGTTCTTTCAGCTGGCAGCCGCACAGGATCATCATCATGGTAACACAGGGACAGAAAAGGGAGGTGTTGCTCTATGTTGAACCTGCCCAGGCTGCTTCCATCCCCAGCTGCAGAGCTTGCTTAGCAAAACAGGGGAGAGAGAGAGATGCTCCTGCTCGCACCCAGGGGCAACTCGACTGGCTCCGGGGCTGCTGCACTGTACAACAGGTAGCTGGCTGGGCTCACAGAGGTGGCTCTACCTGCTCAAAGCGACTGAGGCTCCTCTGCCCCCTCCCCAGGCTCAGAGGAGACGTCACCACACGGAGTGCCTCCAGCAACTTAAACTCACATGTCACATGAGCCAGGGGGGAGTGAGAGGGGGAGTCTTAAATCAACCTATATCAGCTGCTGAGAAGCCCTGAGTGACACAAGGGGGCCTCAATGAGAGTGACGGGAGCCAGGGAACATGAAGTTTTGGCAACTCACACAGCCAATGAGAGGAAGCAGGAGGCAGGGCTGTTTCTCGCTCCCTCTCTCTCTCTCTTTTTTTTTCTCTTCTGTGTGTGCAAAGATTAGGTTGAGATCCGGTGAGTGGGAGCTGCTGCCTGCTCTCTCTCCCTCTCTTTCTCTGCTGTAGCTGGGCTTCAGCAAGGAGCTCCCCAGCCAGCCTCGGGCGAGCCCGACCCCGGCACCAGCCCGCAGAAGAAGGGGAGGCGAAGGCAGAGCAGACCAAAGGACCCCCACCCCGCACCCCGGCAGTGGCAATCATGGATCATTATGATTCGCAGCAAACCAATGACTATATGCAGCCAGAGGACGACTGGGACAGGGATCTGCTTTTGGATCCAGCCTGGGAAAAGCAGCAGAGGAAGGTAAGTGCCTTCCCCTCCTCTCCGTGAACACGCGCAGGAAAGCATCCTAGGGAGATCCGAGAGCAGGGGGTGGGGGCTGCGGTAGGTCCATTAGCCCGGAGTGTTGGGTTACAGGCAGCGTGCGCGCCTGTGGTTACAGGCACCTAGCGGGGGTGTGCATTAGGCATCTAGTGGCGGTGGGGGGGAGGTTGCAGGCATCTCGTATGTGGGGGAGGGGGAATCACTTCGTAGGACTTACCAGAGACTAGTTGTGTATTGGGAATCTGCGTGGTTCCCTTTGCAGAGTGCCCCCCCTCCTTTTAACCCGGGCTGGGGATAGTGGAGGGCAGGGAGCTGCGGTGGCTGATGGCGGGACACTGCTGCTGGCAGCTGGATCCCCTGCATCGCCCTCTTGTTATATTGCTTTAAATAATGTAGGGAGGAGGGGAGATCCACCTCATTACAGATTTGTATATGCGTAACCTCTCCTCCCTCTGTTGCTTTCTCCTATGGCGAGAGATTACGATGAACACTAGGGCTGTCCTAGCCTTGCACAAGACCTGATGGGATTCAGAGATCTAATAATGGAGCAAGTAACCTGCAGAGAGGGCAGGCTAGTTGCTCCATTATTAGATCTCTGATTAGATCCCTTCCCCCAGCTGTTTTAATTAATTCTGGAGCAGAGTTTTTAATTAATTAATTTTTTTAAAGCACCCTCTGGTTGTTCTAGAGGCCCGGTGGAAATAGCTTTTGGTTTTGTTGGGCGATGGTAAAGGAAAGGTGTGGGTCATGCTGGGTGTAAGTCTGAGCTACGTGGTTGTCTTTGCTACCTGCTGATCTCCTGGGTAGAGTGCTTGGAGAGCTAGCAATGGAAGGGGCTGCATTAGAGCGTGGGGTGATTGCTATCAGTTATTAAGAGAGGGTGGCTGGAGGGTGTCCCCTGAGTAGGATGCGATGGGGAGGAGACGGCTGAAGAAATGGAACCTGCTTGATTGCCCAGTTTCCTAGATCAGAAGTTCCTTCCCTCCTCACCTGCAGCAATAGATGCTTTCCCTGTCAAGTGCCACAAGCCATGCAGCCAGGATCTGCAGCTTCCCCCCAACCTCCTTGGCATTTTGCAGTGCATTGTACAAAACCACCCCTTCCAAGAAGCAGTTTTTCTTTGAATGTTGGAGTGATTGCTATTTCCGACAGCCCCTCTGAAAGCTGCCAAAGACCTGATCCAGGCCTCTGGAGCTGGGTGTGCCCTAGGGGAAGGGTGGATTGACATTGTTCAGGTACATTGTGTGTGTGTGTTGCAACAGAGTGTCAGGTCAACTGCAAAGAGCCCCAAAGCAGGGCAATGCACAAAGGCAGGATGCCTCCGCAAGGGCACAAAGACTGATCAAAGAAGAAATTAGACAGGACTGGATTAAGTTGGCATAGAAAGTTACCCAGGGCTGCTTGCTCTCTTCTACAGCTGTGACGATCCCCTTAGGTTAAACATTTCTTCCCAGTGTACTGGGAAACAGGAGAACTGCAGTGAACTTGGAGATCAGGTTGACTGAATAGCAATCAGTTACCTGTACGCTACCTCCCTGCGTTCCCACCAGTTATAGTCCCCAGTCACTTCCCAGTTGCGTTTTGATTGCAGGCGGGATGATAGCTGAGTTCTCATTTGACTGGTGTGGTTTAGGGCTGGGCTTGTGCAAAGCAAAACTCATGTCCAAAAATGGTAACATTCATCCCTTTTTTTTAAACTTAAAGGGGGGGGAGGAGGGTTAGGAGGAGTTCTAGCTGCTTCTTTTCATTTTTTGAAGCCAAAGGCATCCTGTATTAGATCACCCTGGAATCCTAATCCCTGAAACATTTCCCTTTTAGTCGCATTGTCAGACAATAAAGGAGAATTAAAAAAAAAACAAAAACTTTGGCAGGGCACCTCCTAGAAATGTGGCAGCCGTGAACTCACTGGAGTGAATTACTTGATCAGTTTACCCTTGTATCACATATTCCCTCTGCTTGAATTCTGAACAGAAAAAATGTATCTTCTCTACAGGTAGCAAGTATAGAGTTTGGAGACTGGAGGTGATAGAACTGGCTTTTTTCTTTTATATTGTTTATGGTTGGGCTGTCTACGGGCAGCTGAGAGTAACTGGGAAAGGAGTGTTTACCAGGTAAAGGACCTTTCATCTTTCCCTCTTCCTCCCCCTCCACCTGAAAAAGTCTTACAGGTACTTTAATGTATAGTTTACCAAAATGGTGAGTTTGAGAAACACTTCCACTAAAGATGTGTTAATTAGAGGGAATAGCTATGGAACTTCTGTCAATGGCTTTCTAAAAGCTACAGGGAGAAGATAAAAAGCTTGAGAAATAAAGCATACAAACAAAGGTACCTATTT